CCCCCTCTTCTCGCCCTACACTGTCCTCCTCGGGTCTACCCCTGAAAACAGTCGTCTTCAACCCTCAGCGTGAGGACACGAGCCCCAAATCTCTGCGGTACAACTTGTTCCTCTGTCGTCCTGCTGCTTCTCTCACCGCTGCTCTCTCATCCTCTCTTCGTCTCTCCCTCTGTCTCTGCTGCAGCACCCACACACTCCGCAGTGAAGAACGGCCAGCTTAAAGAGACAGAGACCCCCAAATGCAACCACTGCCCTAGCTTCTCTGAGCCCCTCTCTCTCCTCTCTTTATAGCAACAGGAGTCTTTCTGTCCCATCAGTGGCTGACTTTCCTCACTTCATTCAGTATCTGAAGACATCTTCAGACGTCACAGGCATCACTGCAGACACTCCCAGCGCCGTTCCCCACTTTTCTGTCTCCTCGGTTTGAAATCCCCATCATGGCGAAGAGGAAGTGAGTCAGCCATGCTGTCTAACCCCTCAACAGTGACATACTGAATCTTGTCAGTGTGAAGGATATGCTTCACCTTGTGTGCGTGTGTGTGTGTGAGTTTGTGTGGGTCGCTGTGACACGCAGTCCGTTGCTTCTTAATATGCACTGTGAAAGAGAAAGAGTGAAAGCTCCTGAGAGTTCTCGTCCTGCCCCACTTACAGAACTGAGCAGTACAAAGGAAAGCGATGCTCACCATTCTCACACAAATCCATTACATTACAAGAATTTTCATCTATTCTCACTGCTTTTTCCCCACTGAGGTGCCTGGTTTTTTGTTTGTTTGTTTGTTTTTTTAACCTGTGATGTAATGTGTGTTGCTAAAGTCTAAAATCCCCCGAATCGACCTCACCTAACAGGTTCTTGAGAATGTTTTCATTGGTCCTTACTGCTCTAACCACCTCTTCCTACACAGTCCTGCTATCAATATCCACCAAGGGCAACCTAAATATAGCCTGCTTGAACGCCCCATATACATACAGCAGAGTGGCAATGCAAAGTGAGGCAAAGACAAAACACCACACGGGTCTTTCTGCAAAAATACAACAAAACCCTTCATGTCCTACATTTCTGCTTCTATTACAGCTAAACATATTAATCACCCTGATGTGTAAAGCCTCACTGAAATGACATTAAAAATAAACAGATTATAATATAGGTGTTCAATCAAGCTCTGTTCAATACTCAAAGCAGCTTTGTACTCAGACTCAACTTGATTTCAACTTTAGACACATGAGCTCCAAAGGAATGCTTTGGATGAAGTCTTATTCAAACTATATTCAGCTCAGCGCTGGCAGAGCGCAGCAGCGGTATGCAGGGACAAGAAGGTTATGAACCATTTAACACAACCCTCCTCCCATGTTTTCTTCTTCAGTGGTGAAAAAGGCCAAAGGAAAGCAGTTGCTGAGACAAGGCCTGTACTGTGTGGACCACAGGAAGAGGTAGGATAAGGATGGAGTTCAGGGAAATAATACAGTCCCTAGACAGACAGGGGGTATGCCCCGAGGTGAAAAGTGTGTGTGTGTACACTTACACAGGCTTCCTGTTAGACAAATACAGAGACGTGTGTGGGCTCACACACTTGTTCATGAATGCTTTTGCTGTTGTCATAAATTTGAGGATCACTGACCTCTCAGGTGCTCACCTTGTCAAACAGACCTCTGACATGAGAAGCAGAGACACGCAGAATAACCGATAGCAAAGCTCACAAACGGTGGTCGAAGTACAAGTTCATGCAAACATGGCCACCGTGAACAATCTCTGAAAAACATATTGATCTAAAATAGTTGAATTACTTGAGTAATCTAGCAGTTAAATAAAATGAGGATTCAGATTCTCTGGTTGTTGCTTCAAAACTTTGGGGCATTTCAGGGGTCTTTTGTTCTTTTTCTATATTATTGCACATCATACTGTGCTGGGACAACATAACCAATGAGGAAAAATGCTAACTCTGACAGTTTTCTTTTCACTTCCTTCTGGTTTCTCTTTGAAATGTTTCGTTTCTATCCCTTCAAACTGTTTATTTAACTGAATGTACAGAGAAACATTTAAGGGCATCTCTGCAATTGTCAGTAGCCATGTTTCCTCCTCTGAGGCTCTCATAGCCCTCTTATACAGCATATAATGGCCCCAGATAACACATTAACAAATCCCAAAGCATGCTATGCTGCATTTGACACTTATAAATCAGCTTACATCTACATTAAATTGCGAATTATTCATCTGCTGCCTGAATGTTACGCTCAGGGATTAACTCCAAAGAGGTTAAAATAGCATTTAGGAAGAAACAGTGTAAATACAGACAGTGCCACATGTCTTATAGATGACCAGATCCAGCATATCAGTGTACGAGCGCCACAACAGCACGCTTCCCTGAAAGCTTTAATTAAATATTAATCTGACGTCTGATCCTGTCTGTTTGTAATCCCAGTGATTCCACTCTGGAGAGATAATCCCAGGGCTGGAGACACTCAGAGCTGAGATTAGTGGGAGTGCCCTACCCCTCCTCCTCCCTGGTATAGTGTATAGATTTACAGATGTACGTATGTATCTGCTACACACTCATTTCTTTTTAGTGTGTTTAAATTAGCATTTTATAACAAGTCGTAGTAATATGTGTAGTGCAGCGGTGTCAAACATAAGGGCTAGGGACCAGAGTCAGCCAAAGCAAAAGAAGCAGTGCATACATTTTTGGACATTTGACTGTTTTTCAGCTTTTCCTGGTGATAAAGAACTCTTCCATGGCCAGTCAAGCTAAACCAAAGGAATTAAGTAATAATAATTAAAAAATTAAATGACAGAAATGTTCCTTTTTAATCACCATCTATGGAAATATCAGTAAAGTTTTCAACATTTATCAGATAAAAAACTGAGACATGCTGTTAAAATTGTACTTCTTTTTCTTATCGTAAGATATTTTAAGGGTTTAATGTTTAGTTAAACATCTTTATGGCCCACTTAAGATCAAAGTGGGCCGTATGTGGCCCACAACATAAACTGTGTGCATGTTTTCTGCCTATAATGGTAAGGGGGGGTGTCTCCTAATGGGACAGACTAGCGCCAGTAAAGCAGCTCATAAATGTCCTGACTGTCACAGTCATCAGAATCTGTGTTGGTCTTTATGCTTTCATATGTCGTGCTCCACTGAGGCCTGATGTCACATATGGCTCATATATGTGAGTAAAGTCTTTAAGCTTTACCACAAATCACATTCTCATCCATCACCCAAGAGGCGCAATAAAGATAAAGAAAACATAAACACAGAAGAAAGGCAGCAGAAGAAAGTTAAAGGCCTGTACACCAACAGAGCAGCAGACTAGAAGACTGGGAACTCTTGGGAGATTGACAGATTCCAGTGCAGAGCAAGGCCACAACTGTCCCAGGGGTGCACGCTGCACAGCTGTTTGGGCTTCGTATGCAACAAAGCAAACACAGACAAGAGTGAGGGTGATAAATTAAAGGAAGGCCGAGCGAGTGAGGCAACCAGACAAAGATGGAGAATGATGGTTGTTTATGGTTGCAGGGCCTCTTGTCTCTCACTCCCTGTCATTTGCAGGGAGCGGGGTGCGTGCGTGCCGTTTCTATTTTGGCAGTCACGGCTGCATTTCTTCCACCGCAAAAATACCTTAAAATGCCTACATTTGTATTGCCTGCTGAACTTCACGGCTGTTCACCGCATTCACCTCAGATGTCTTCTGATAAGAGAGAGCAGATGTACAACTAATTGGTTTTATCCATGAAGAGAGTAATTGTGAAGGGGAGTGAAAAAGTTAGTGAAGTTTTTGAGATGTAAAGAAACTGTGTGTTTTGTGTGTGTGCATGTTTCTGTGGGTATATATGCTCCAGTAATCTTTCTGCTCTTGCCTCAGTGAGCTCTTGCTGATAGCACACTAAATCAGACAGCTCGGCAGTGCCGGCAAACTTGCACTCTTTTTCCTCCATCCCTCTCTCTTGTGCACTCTCTGCTCTTAGCTCTTTGTCTCTCCTGATTCCCGTCACTTGCCATCACCCACTGTTTGCAACCACATGCCATCCTTTATTTTTCTCCGTCATTTCCTCCTGGTTTTGTTTCACTGTTTGTTTGTTTTTTAACCTGCTTCATTCATTATCCCTCCCTTTCCAATCATCCTTTATCCTGCCTTATCTCACACTACTCTGCAGCTCCAACCTCGCCATGACAAACTACTGCTGACACAATGCCTGCTCAGCAGCCGCATACACTCAAACACACACACACACACACACACACACACACACACACACACACACAGAGGATGAACGCATGTGCAGTGAGTGTGCAGAGAAGCACAAAGGTACCTCAGGTTGAGTTCTAGTCCAAACTGTCTGTGACAGAGCCATGCAGATATGTTAGGAGTGGCATCATCAGATGCTGCTTTCTGTCTCTGAACACATTCTCACATCCCCACAGCATCAGACTGATGTATTTAATATATTGTCCCCATTAAATGTGTCTGAGCAGACATTTCCACTACTCAGGATTTCACCAGTACACCACTGTGGATTCCATCTCGCCCTCTTTCTCTAAGTCTGGTAGCAAAGTGGGAACTCTGGGAGGCACAGCTGCAGAACTAGATAAAGCTCTTTCCGTGGAAGGATTTTGGCTGCCTGTGGTGAAAAAATCTTTGGAAATGTCCTTCCCTGTCACTCCAAGTCACTCACAAAGGCACATGCACAATTTTTGTGTGTTTGTCTGTGTGTGTGTGTACAAACACACAACCACAGCTATGGTTTGGCACCCAGCTACAACGTGCCCTTCATAAAAACTGCGCTGCAGGAACAAGACGCGGATCTTTAATTCAAAACACTCTGCATTCACGTGCGCAGTCTGTTCCACGATGTCTCGTGTGGGGAAATGAAACAGTAATCACACAAGTGAATGAAGCAGGTATACACCGAGTGTGTGGCGTGGCACCACATAAGCCTATAATCACTCATTTCCACGGGGAAAGAAAAAAAAGCAACTCACTTGCAGTAGCCTGCTTTAACTACTTACTTTGACATTTGAGTGCCTCCACAGTGACCTGCCGGCTACACGCGTCACACCAGTCCTGCTTAACGGGCTTGGCCTCGAAACGGTGTCCTTCACCCCTTTCCGTCTTCACCCGGGGGTCCGTCCCCTGAGAGAAGATGGACCAGGCCTCCATGCGGTGAGGTTCGGGACGAGCCAGCTTCACCACTCCGGTTCTGCCCTGCGTAACCCGCTCCAGTGGAAGACCGCCGCTTTTCCCTGGCGCTGAATGCCGCAAGGAGATGCTCTGACGTCCGCCGTCTCCGTTCACAGAGTCTGCCTGCGTCGCGCTCCGATGCCGGTGCAATCTTTTATGTCCACTCGCCAGCGATTCGCTCGGTATGACATTAGTGCCCGGTCCCTTCAGCGAGGAGCTCCTCCGACCCCCGCGGGCGGTGTGCTTGGCGTGACAGTCCATGTAGCTGTTGCTGCTGCAGTCGCCGGTGATGTGCCCGTTGTGACTTTGCCGTGCCCCAGCGGCGGTGCCCGCGCCGCTGTCCCGCTGCTGCTCCGGGCTACGTGGCGCAGAATGGGCGGACGGAGCCCCGCATCCTTCACCGGGCATCATTCCTCCTCTCACCACCGTCCCTGTGTCTCCTCCAGCAGTGACAGACACATCTTCCTCCCCGCTCCCTGAGCTTCTCCTGAACATCTCCCAGGACTTTTTCCTCGGCAGGATGGTTTTCTTTCTGCCACCGAGCTGCCCGAAGAACTGCGGACCCGGCTGCTGCCCCACCACACTCACAGACGCCATTATCCTGTCAAACCCCCTCCTGTAAGCGCGTGTGTTCGTCTGTTTGAGGGGTGTCAGTGTGCGTGTTTTCACTCCGTGCCCTGACTGTAAACTCAGCTCTCCCCGCCGTGTCACGCCTGTAGTAGTGACGCAAGGGAAACGACACTTTTAAAGCGCGAGCGCGCTTCCCCAAAGACACGAGGGATAGTAGGGCGCATGAATTTCTGTTTAACGTTTTAGCACGCTAACCAGCCCGCATCACTGGATGATATTGAACTTGATGACGAGTCAGTGAAATTTGTTTTATTCCAGCCGGCCACTTACTGTAAATGAAGGGAAAGCAACAATCTCCTGAAACCAGAAAATGCGTTTCTTAAAGAATCACAGTTCAGGGATATGCAGAGAAATACCACGGACTGGATGTATAATGAAACGAATAGCTTAAAAATGATAAATCTTCTTATTTAAATAGTCCGTTTCAAGTGGGTTTTTTTGTTTTGTTTTGGTGTTTTTTGTTTTTAATGGGACAGCAAATTAAAGGCCAAGATATTTGACATGCCACACGTTTACCTCAATTTTATTTTATTTTTTCTAAAAAAAGTGGAATTACCACCTCGAGATTGTATGCTTCCGCCATCCAGTCAAGTTCTGTTTATGCTGTGAGTCCAGATATATGTTACGGAAGAGGATTAGATATGTAGACTTTGAATTTACACCAAAGATTACATCTTTGACCCCTCAGGTAAATATTTTCATCTTGTGTCACATCCCTTTTATATTTAAGGTTTAAATTCTTAAATTATGGACAAAATCACTTTTTGTGATTATGTGTGTTTATTTCTAATGGGGGCTTAGAAATAAACATTATTTTCAAATGATTTGATTTCTGTTTTGAGTTTCTTGTTGTCGAGTCTGTTTTGTTTCTGTTTGACTCTGTTCAGTTTCACTATTATTTTTAGTATTATTTTGCATGGAGGGGATTTTTCAGGGGCAAAATGAAAGGTTCTGACTCGGTACTGCAAGACAAACAGCATTTTTTGGGCAGCAGACTAACAAGTCTCTAACCAACAAGACAAGTCTCAACAGACCTTAGTGCCAAAGCCTCATCAGGAAGGGTGTGAAACCAAAACTGAGCAAACTGACAAAAACTCAAATCTTGTCCAATATATGTATATATTTATTTTAGAAGCATAGTTTTTATTTCACATAACAAAAAAATAAACCCAGAATGGCTCAGGTTACAACTATTACTGACTGGGAGGCGTAAAAAACACACATTTGATGAATCTGATTTGTAGGCCTCACTCTGGACTGACAGTATCGCAAATTTTGTCTCAATGTAAAATATCACAAAGTCTGTCTGTTACACTTGTTTGTGTGGGCTAAAAACAGTAAAGTTTTCCAATTTGCCAGAAACACGTCATGAGCTGAAAAAAATAACCACAGAGGCAGCTGAGCTCATCGCCCCCAACTGATCTGAGAAAGTCCACGAGGACGCCCACGCCCTGCCCACACACTTTCTTTCATTTTCAATTTCTCACACTTGTTTTACGTTTTCACTTGAGGGTTTTTTGGTGTTTAAGAGCAACGATATTCGTTCACACCCACCATAACCTGACATTAGGGGCCAGGAAAGGATTTCATCCACTTTTCTGTTTGAAATCTGGCTCTGACTGAATTATTTTTAAAGACTACAAAACAGTCAAATAAATAAATAAAAGTTGAAAAAAACAGCAAGTATTTCCCCCCTAAATACCGCCTTTCATAATCAACAAATAACAAAGCTGGGATTTCCCCAGCATACACCACAGTGGCTAATGTCACTTTATAATGTCATTTTGGTCAGCTGTTATCGAAGTGTTAGCTTTAATGCCCTTCTGCAAAGAGAAAGAAGACACTGTGGTGAGTCCTGAGTTCCCCATGGTCGTGCTTCTCTTTTACAGGGATTCCCATGATGAAACACACAGAATTATTTTATCATTCCACTTAAAAACCAACAGGAACAGAAACAAATGTGGGTTAAAAAGATGAAATAGAGCAAATTCATCATCAAGTGGAATGATCAATCATTGGAAGGCCTTTTTCCTCAAAAACACACAGACACAAAGAAAAACAGAGTCTACAAGCACAACCATTACCCTGTTTATAAGCAGATTTGTACAGAAACATTTTATACTGTTTTTTAATAATGTTATAATGTTTCTATATCCCAAATATAATCAAAACCTGCATACTAGTACACACTCTGTCAGGATAAATATACTATTCAAGGTTCTCCAGAGCCTACTCTTCCTCTTCTGTGAAACAAAGGACCACAAAAAACAGAGTAAGAGCTGACTATGCATTCATTGATCCTGGCTGTCTATCTCTATGGCACCCTATTACAAATACAATAACACTTAAGGCATTAATGAAGATTTTATTGATCTTATTACTGCTAAACTCAGCCACACACACACACACACACACACACACACACCTACCTGAAGCCTATCCTCCTTTCTCTTTGTGCTTATCTTATTTCTAAATTGATAAAGGACATTTCATTGATTGTTAAAGGAAGAGGAAGCAGATAAAAACAAACACTGTAGATGGTCCTTGAAAGGCCAGTACGTTCATTAATGGCACTTAAGATGAGGTGATTTTCAGAGAGTGTGCGTGCGCCTTTCAGAGGCAAGATCCAGAGACAGTGGTCTTGTGTCACAGTGTAGAAGGTCTGGCCAGAGTCGGCTCCAGAGCTGCAGGAGAGTTCACGGCTCCCAGGCTATGGAACCACAGAAATACCATCAGCATCATGCTGCGTGTGCTTTGACAGATGAGATTTGTTAACAGTAAGGTGGTCACACCACTGACCTCTCTATAATACCGTTGTTACACTGTAGCTCCCTCACCAGAATCTCCATTTCCTCCTTCAAATGGTGCATCCTACAAAAAAGAAAGAAATACTGCAATGGCAGTCGGGAAATGTCTTAATTTTACACACACACACACACACACACACACACACACACACACACACACACAC